AATAGAAACCCTTAAAATTGGGCTCGAACCATTATCAACCACATCAAGCATATATAACTTTACCTCTTCTATCCGACTTTAATACAATAGGTAGGGGACACCTTATAATGTTCAGGAACTCTGCTTAAAACATACTTCACAGTCATATCACTACGTGAGCAACTCAACCCACTTCTTCTAATGATTTCATCAATCAACTCATCAAAACTAACTTCTGTACTCACAACAATTGTTATAACTTCTTCGCTCTTCTCAATCCACTTCTGACAACTTTCGTCCTCCACTTACTCACCAAAATATTCAACACTCAAAACAACTTGTCCCATGACTAATAATAGCAAAATACCTATAATGGAAGAAAAATAATTATTAACTGATATATTAAGAGTTGACAGATTTTAAAGAGTATCTACAGAATCGCTTAAGCGATCTGGTGTATCGCTTAAGCGGAGCGATCCGTTAGCTCTGAAATTCATTTTTCATCATTTCACCTATAATCGGTTGTGACAATTGCTACCACCCTTAGCTATTTGCAATGCAAGAAAATCATCAACAAATTTCACTCATTTCAACTTGCATTACATCAAACACAACCCAATAACCTAAACCACTAAATTGAAATCATAACCCAATCCATTAAATATTTTTGGAAAGAAATCTAAGATACAAAGAGGAGTAACACAAACCTAGACGAAATGTTAGGAGGAGGAGGAGGCAGATCTTCTTGCAGAAGATGTTAATGGCAGAGGAAGAGCAGGCGGAGGAGGAGGAGGTGAGCTTCAGTTTTGCTAAGAAGAAATAGCAACAGGGAGGGGAGTTTTGACGTTAATGGCGGGAGAGTGGGAATCAAGTTCTTTGTTTTGGGTTTGGGTTTCCTTGCAACAATTTTGGGTTTTTGGGGACAAAGTATAATTTTTGAAAAATTAGTCAATGCTTCATTAATTCTAATTAAAACATGATTAGTGATTAATTGTCTTAATAAAAAAACAAGACCATTTAGTAAAGGCTGAAAAACTTGATGGCCTTTTAATTAAATCCAAGGCCAAAATGGCCTTTTAATCTTTTGCCCCCATGTTTTGCAGTTGTGACAGAGAAATTACTCTGGTGGGATAAATAGTTAAATGTAAACGCAATTTTTTTTTTTTTTTTTTAATTTGGTGCTTTACCAAATTATATGGTATAATGAAATAATAATTAAAAAAAAAAAAAGTTAGTTACACAATCCTCCATTGGGGTTTCAACATTTCACGGAGGTAGAAAAAAATCATAGTTTAATACAAGCACCCCATTTTTTAACTTTTGTTAGGACTCCTTGAACATACAAGCCTGACCGTTATCCTCTATAATTAATCACTTAATCCTTATCATAAATTTTTGGTGTTAAAACTAATCAAGGAAATGGAAAAAAGACTTTATATTTTAAAATAAGCAGAATAATAAATTAAATATTTTAAAATAATAAAAAATATTTAGAAAATGTTTTTCCAAATAATATATATTTAAGATTTATTTTTTTTTTAAAATTAATTTTACTTTTTTTCAAAGAAGGTGTACAACGATCTCTTTTCTATACCTTTAGGGCATGTTTAGTTGGGGGTAATCTCTCAATTACTAAGATAATGTCATCTTTTATTCAAGGTTTTAAAATCCGACTCGGGGGGCAACCTGGCCAAGCCACCGAGTCACAGGTTTTAAGGGTTGAACAGTCCGACCGACGGGTCGGACCATGATGTCAGCAAAAAAACAAATTAAAAAAAAAAAATGCAGATTTTTATTTTTGCCAGTGATAATAAAAAATTCCGTTAACAAACATATTCAAATCTAAAATGAAATTAAAACTTAAAAGTTTAAAACTACAAGTCTACAACATACCAAGTTATAAAGTATAAACTATAAAGTAACAAGTAGTTTAAAATTAAATTAAAACAACATAATCAAAATAAAACCAACATCCTACATTTCTATTACATTTCCATTTAATTCAAGTCAAGGCTGACTTTAGGCACTAGATCTAGAAGCAAAATTACTTATATCAAGATAATCTTCGTCGTTGTCCTTGTCATTGTCATCATCAGCATAACCAGCATCTACAAAAAAAATTGCAAGCAAAAATAAAGTTATTAGTTAAATGATTTAATTGTAAACTAAATTGACTAATGTAATATAACATTTAACAAACTAAATTAAATAATGTAATTTTAGGGAGCCCATTCAACATGGCAAAACGTGTAAAGAAAATTGCTAGCCCTTTGATATTGGTTTTAAGTCACTAAGTAGAGCATTTAATTAAGGAATCAAAATCTTTCATGATATGAGCTTTCATCTAACAATAACAAATTAAACATTGACCAACAGAGATTGTTAATTGACAGGATTTTGGGACTAGGCTTCTCAATAATGGTACGTTATGAGAAGAAAGTTTTAGTATCCTAAAGTAGATATGACATTGCAACTGCAGTGTGAAAATGCACACTACACACAACCTATCAAACCAACCATTTTTACACACTTCAATTTTCTATCACAACCAAACTCACACCAAACAATCACCTCTTCAATATCAAGTTTCAAACCCACTTCTTTAATATTAATAATCAAACAATCTCTCTGACTCTATCTCAAACAATCTCACAACGAAACAAAAACCAAACTTACATTGAACAATAACAATACCAAGATAACAACAACGAAATACACATACCCTGAGGGAGCTGCCAAATATCAAAGATCAAAGAAGAAGAAGCTATGAAAACCGAATTTGGAAGATTAGAGATTTAGAAGTCGTCGAAGGCCCGAAGATTGAAGATTAGTTAAAGATTTTGCTGATTGAAATCTGAATCAAAGAAGCCCAAGATCGTAGAAGCTGATTTCGTTTTGGTAATGGGTTTTTTATTTTTCTCCTCTGCTGGTGTTGGTTTTGTTGAATAAAATTGGGGAAGGGAGAAGAGAAAAGCTGATTTCGTTTTTGGTAATGGGTTTCTTTGATTTTTCTTCTCTGCTGGTTTGGTTTTGTCAAATGAAAATGGGGAAGGAAGAAGAGGAAAGCTGAAAAGGGTTATTTTAAGTTTTAATTTTATTATTTTTACTGTAGTAGCCTGGGTTTTACCGGTTGGACCGGTGGTTCGTTGGCAAAAAACCGGTTCAACTGCGGGCGAAACCAAGTCAATTGTTATTTTCGGTTTTTAACATGAACCGACCCGGTATGGACACCAGTTCAACCGACTGGACCGAGCCGGATTTTAAAACCCTGCTTTTATTACTTGATTACCACATTTGGTTGCAAGTAATATAATATTCCAGTAATCTTCTAAAACCAATAGTAGTTACTGTTGGTAATATATGAGATAATCTGATTACCTATATTTTTTTAGGTAGTTTAAGATTACTTGGTAATTACTTTTTGTTACAATTTTACTCCTTATTAATAAAAATTTTGGACAATAAATGCCCTTGTTTTGAAATCAATTTACATTAATCTACCATTACAATTTTACCCCTATTTAATTAAGTTTTTGGATAATAATGCCCTTATATTTAAAACAAACTACAGGCCACCTAGGGATGTGCAAAAAAAACTGTTAACTGAACCGAACAGAACCGAACTAGAAAATTCGGGTCGGTTTCGGGTATTTATTATGTGATACCCAAATTTTCGGTTCGGGTATCGGGTAATTATTTTAAGAGAACCGGGTGTTTATTAAGAAATTAAAAAAATAAAAAATAAAAAACCTAGTTTTTAAACCTGTTTTCCTTTAACTTTCAAAGAGCAAGAGGCAAAAACCCCAAATCTTAAGTATTTAAGTTATTAAATTAAAAGTTGATTTAGTATATGGAAGAAATTGTATTCACAAATTGAAATTTGAAATGTAAAAAATCAGAATTCATGCAAAAATATTCAAATTCGAGTCATAAACCAGGTATCCGGTTTTTGACCCCAATATTAGGGTACCTGAAAAACCGTTACCCTTAAAAGCGGTTCGGTTTGTGGGTACTCTTTTAGGGGTACCCGAATATTTGGGTACCCGGTTTTCGGGCAAAACCGGTAGGGTACCCGGTTTTGCACAGCTCTAAGGCCACCTAGGACCACCATCACATGCCAGCCACCACCATCGGCAGTTGGCCAACCACTGTCAAAAGTTGTCGTCGTGTGCCGATATGGAAGTTTTCGATCATATTAACGACAAAAAACGGCTAGATGGCCGTAGATCTGGCCAGAAATGGTCAGATCTATTATGTTTGTTTTCAGCAAGATCTACTGATTTTGGCCGTTAATGACCACATTGTGGTTGTCAACGGCCAAAACTATGGCCGTTAACGACGACCAGTTCTAGCGGTAATAAAAAATGGCCATATCGACCCACGGTTAGCCAGATCCGACCGATCGTGTGCTGTTATAGCCAATTCCTCCTCCGCTTATAGTGGTGGCCAACGGTGAGTAATGACTTAGGGTGGGTGGGGGTGTTTTTGTTAAGAATTAAACTTTTTTGTTTGCTGAGGTGTTTTAGCAAAATTTCAAATATAGGAGGTTAAATGAAATGATTCAAATAAATAATAAAAATAATATTATATTATTATGTAAAAAGAAAGATAATTTAATAAATTATATAATATGTTCACCAATTTATTCCTTCAAACTAAGTATATTAATATAATATACTCAGCAATTTGTTTCAATCAATCAAATATATTTATCTAACTATTCTCAATAATTTCTAAAATAACTAATTTTTTATTAATATAACATTTATAGTAATGTAATATTTCCTCGTCGAAATACACCGCTATAAAATGTTGAAATCCTGACTAGGCCTATCCGCCTATGTAACTAACTCTAAGAAAAAAGAAATTCTTTAGTGATTAAAAATTTGTGTAGGTTTAGGGGCATATGATAAGGTATTATTAAGGTGCGACTTGCGAGACTGCGAGCTCTAACTTCACAGCCTAAATTGCTCCACAATATTAAAATTATGTTTTAAAAACAGGAAGTAATTTATGGTGGGGTCGGCATCCTACTAGTCAAATTCTTATTGGTCAGTGACGTTTCTTAGCTACCTCTTGAATACCCAAAAAACCTCAACTTCCCTAGACCTCCGAAAGAACGAATATCGTTAGATCGGTTCCGACTCAACTCCCGATCCAAATCTGAAATGGATATCTCACAACATGACCCGAACTCTAAACCGAATCGTTCCGGCGGACCCGACGTCGAACTCTATACCATTCCAAGCAACTCCAGTAAGTCTCTCCCTCCTCGCCTCTCTTAATAAACCTAAAATTTTTCGATTGTTTCCCGTGAAAATAGTTTCTCAGCAAAAAAATTATAGGAAAGAAATAGTTAATTTTTTTTTTTTTTTAAACTTTTATTTTGTTTAGGTTGGTTTAGGTGGGATGACATTCACGAAACAGAGCGTATCGCTCTAAAAGAGTTCTTTGATGGGAGCTCAATTTCAAGAACTCCTAAAATATACAAAGAATACCGGGACTTCATGATAAATAAGTACAGAGAAGAGCCTTACAGAAGGTTGACATTCACTCAAGTTAGAAAGTCACTTGTGGGTGACGTTAGTTTGCTCCATAAAGTCTTCAATTGTTTGGATAAGTGGGGTTTGATAAACTTTGGTGCACCTGCGAGTGACAATAGAGATAACTTGGAGGACATTAAACTTCAGGATCAAGTTAGGGTTGAGGAAGGAGCCCCGAATGGGGTTCGTGTGGGTGCAATGCCAAATTCTTTGAGACCACTGTCGCCTCCGCAGTCTGCAGGGGAAGGTAGAGTGCTGGATGGTGAAAACGGGTTTAAATTGCCCCTTCTGGCGTCGTATTCAGATGTTTTTGGTGATTTGGTGAAGCTGAAGGGTTTGAAGTGTATGAGCTGCGGAGAGAAATGTGATTCCGGATGCTATGAGTATTGCAAGGTATATAATATATATTAATGTGCTTTGCTTTCTGATGTTGTTAGCTTAGAATTATATGGTTGTATTTGTGCATTCGATGTGTTTTGTTTTTCTATTGGTTTCATTTCTTTTCTGCTTGGGAAATTGTCGCTAACTTCTTTCTATTTACCGTGTGTTTTTTAATTTTTGGGTCGTGTTTTCTAAATTCTTTCATTTTTTTTTTTTTAATATTTGATCTTAGGTTGCTGGACTGCTAATAATATGGTCTTGCATTGTCCACATGCTATTTGTGATTGCTCAATCTCCATTTTTTGAGCTTATGAGTTAGTTTATACATTTTATTTTGGTTAATAAGGGACCAATATTGTGAAAGACATATTTAGGTGTTGCTAAGAACTTTTTATATTGGTTGGCTGTGCAGCACCGTGTTTGGACTCATTATGGTTTCCTGAATTGTATTTATTTTACTATTGCAATTTTATTGGTGGTCTTCCTAGATGATATGTGGGTTATGCTATTGAACTTGAATGTTTATTACATTACATCTAATATAGGTTTGGACTGTTAACTTTAAAGGGTATAAAGTTGATAATCCTCACTTTCTGGGAATTTAATCTTCTGAATATAAGAAATTCAGCCTTGATACTAATTCTTATTGTACATGTATATCTTAGACGTGTAAATAATGCCAACCTCTGTTGAGTAGATGTACTGAAGTAGTCATATGAGGTTTTTTTTTTTATCCTCTCATTTTACATTTTCTTTTTTCTTATAGTTCTTGCAATGCCCTTTACAATTCTATTTTCGTCAGCAGGGTCGCTTCATCATTTGTGTAAAATGTTTCAAAAATGGAAATTATGGGGAGAACAAGTCCATGGATGATTTTAAGTTTAATGATGGCAATGGAAAAAATGTTACTCATGGATCTACCTGGACTGAGGCTGAAATCCTACTTCTTTTAGAATCTGTTATGAAGCATGGGGATGACTGGGAGCTTGTTGCTCAAAATGTTAAAACTAAGAGTAAACTCGATTGTATTTCAAAGCTCATTGAGCTGCCTTTTGGGGAGTTTATAATGGGTCCTGGCCGTGGAAGGGGTGGTCCTGATGGCTCCACTGGTAGCTCGAATATTGCTACACATGGACTGATGCCTTCATCTGAGCATCACGACACTAAAGTTGAGGATCAGGTTCATGAGCAGATGGATGAGACTGAGCAAAATGGAGATGCTGCAAGCCAGGAACCTCCTGCAAAGAGAATACGAATTGCTTCCCTTTCGGATGCTGGTGGTTCATTGATAAAACAGGTAAAGGTGCTTGGCCAGACCATAACATTTAGAACCATACCAGACTGTCCTTTCATTATTCTGTAGTAATTTTACTTTATTATCAGGTTTTATTTTTTTTCTCACTTGGAAAAGGAAGTGTGTTATATGAACTTCAGATTGTTTAATCTTCTTATGGGTTTGCACGTTGTGCTGGTGGTATTGCATACTTACGTGTGCATATGCTGGCAGGAGAAATAGGAAAAAGAGGGACTTGTAATCTACTTTTTAGAATTGCTCTATTTGGATCGACTACAGACTGCCAGCTTTAATCAATATTTTTTTTTTTTTTTTTGTTTGTCTCAGGCATTAATAAATCATATAAAAAAGAAAAATAAACATGTTGATTTCTAAAGTTTCATCCTATCTTTCTATGTGTGATGAATGTTGACATTGTTTCTATTAGGTTGCTCTCATCTCAACCATGGGGGGCCCACATATAACTGCTGCTGCAGCCGAGGCTGCAATCACGGCACTTTGTGATGAAAGCTCATGTCCAAGGGAGATATTTGATGACAATGAGGAGTATGTAGATTATGGTCTCCCACTATGCGCGCCATCCCCCCCCCCCCCTTTTTTTTAATTTTTTTAATTCCATGTGATGCTTTAAGTCAATTGGTTAGCTTTTCTGTTATCACTGTGATCTTGACATTATCTTACATTTTTTTTTTTTTTTAATGTTTCAGGGCATATCAGGTCGGTGCTTTAGAGACAAAGGAAACATCCTCCCAGTCAGGTATTTGTTGTAATCACAATTGTACAAAATTTTTTAGACAGCATAAGTAACTTGCTTACAGGAGCTGGGGGTACCAACTGTGGTTTCTCTGCTACTTTATACTCCCTTACTTCCTATTTTATGTGAAATCTTTTTCATTCATCACATAATTCCAAATATATGACTTTAGTGTTCGTTATTTTGGTTCTCTATCTGTCTATATAGCAGATTTTGTCACTCATTTACACTTTTTCAATACTCGGCAGCTTTCCCTGGTCATTTATTAGCTTTTATTGTTACTTTGTATCATTTCTAATCATCTCCATTTGTATGGTTTCCTATAGGAAGTCAAGAGACATGCACAGAAAATAACGACATACCTCTGACTTTACGTATTAGAGCAGCGACAGCAACTGCTCTTGGGGTAGCTGCTTCTAATGCCAAATTATTAGCTGATCAGGAAGACAGGGAAATTGAACATTTAGTGGCCACCATGATTGAGACACAGGTAGGTCAATTTTTTTTATTTCAATTTCTCTTTGTTCCTTGTTGAAAGACTTACCGGTGTGCAGCTCCTAATATTTGTTCATTTCATAAACACATAATTAGTTAAAGAAATTGCACTGCAAAATCAAGCATTTTGAAGATCTGGAGCTGATAATGGAGAAGGAATATGCTGAAATGTTGGAACTGAAAGAATGTCTTGTAGCAGAGCGGATTGACGTCTTGCAAAGGGCTTTGAGTGCTGGTGTATCTAAATGGAGAGATCATACTTATATTAAATCGCAAACTGGTAGTGTAGTTTGATGATGTAGTAAGTAGATTTCAATTTAATGTAAAGAGGCAGAAGTAGAATAGATGAATCTTTAAATCAAATTTTCCAGGATTCAAATGTATGATTTATGTATAATTTCCCTTTCTTTTGATGTCAGAAGCAATTACTGTCTCTCTCTCTGGTTCTCTGTTATGGGGTGCTGATGCAATTGGGTTGGAATTAGGGTCATGGAACATTTTGCACCATTAGTTTCGTGAATTTTGTCCAAAGGCATTACAGTATACACCGACTGATTTGCGTAACGAACTTTATTTTTGTCACTGGAAACGTAAAACACACAAGGTTATATCCCTTGGTCTTGTGGTGATTAACCCGGAAAGTTAGATTGGTGATTCTGCTGAGTCACGGATAGATCCGGAGGCAGAACAAATTGATGATTTTGTTTTCTAAGATGCAACAAATGAGTTTTGATTTGAATGTTGTTTTCTTCACATTTCGATCTCTCAGGTCATTTATTTTCAGCAATTTGCATTTTTAATTTGTTCTGGCAAGAAAGGCCGACGGGGGAACATAATTAAAAAGAAGAAAATCTGAAAGAAGTGCATTGCTCGTAGATTTATATACTCTTATATTTTTATAATGAATGCAGAAGTTCATGACTCTGGAAGATGATTTAATTCTGTTCCTCCCATTCAACTATTTCTTTAAACGTCTCGTGCTTGCCATTGTTTTGACATGGTCGGTATTCAGCATGGGCCAAGTTCTTGCATCGTAAATGATACATTGGATTTATGCCAACAAGGGATCACTTGCATATTTATTTATATTACAATTTTTTTTTTCTGAAAAAACTAATCTTGTACAATCTAATTTCTTTTTCTTTATCTCTCATTTGTACAATGTGTTCAATTCCACACTGTAGAAAATGTACGAGAAAGAAAGGAAAAAGAAAGGCCAGCAACAACCAACAATAATTCCTGCGGAGGATGCGACTTTTGTACTATAATTTTGTCCTTGTATAGTTTTCTTGAAGAAAGCACAAACACTTGGCTGTTTCTTGAATAAAGTCCCCCTGTATGAGCAGCACTATGAGCAAGATTTGATGAGTTTAAAATTTTGGAAGCTTCGTCTCCTAAAAAAGTTTCCAAAGAAGAAACTTCTTGCTGTCTCCTGGGGAAGTTTCCGAGACATATCCGAGTTCCCTTTCACCTGAAGTATAGTTTGTCCTATCTGATCCTGGACCAAATCAATAATTTTGGGGTCTACAGGATTCCCAGACACATCCGTCACAAAGAAACTATCTTTTGCTTTACCTCCCTTTGTCCATATTTCTGCCCTTCTAATGTTCAAACCATTCTCACGAAGTATCCTCGTAATATCCGAAAGAAGACCAAAGCGATCATCTGTACACACTTCTAGTTCCAGGCCCTACATTAACACAATAATTTTTCCATAAGTCACGTATAATCTATTATCCCGAAAAAGAAAAAAAAATTGATTATGGGGTAAAACAAACCTCTGAGGCTCGCCTCTCAATAGCTGCTTCAAGGCAAACTATAACTCGTTGTCTCTCAGCTTCTGAACTTACAGGGAATCCGTCCACATGTTTGATATAGTATTCCTACAAAAGTAGTTTTCTAAAGTTAAAAAATTGAGCCACTGCTACCATACAGAAAAATAAAATGGTGCAAGTGCCAGTCAATTCATCCATTATAAAACAATCTGTAATCATACTTGATAAGCTTCTGTTGTTCCTGTAATGACTGTGCCGTGATAAACCACATATTGCATGTCTGTTAGACTGCATACGATGTCGAACATTAACTTAGGCCGGTCTCGAGACCTTATAGTCACAGCTGTATAGTCTCGATCACTGCAGTCCATCACGGTTACATGAGGTCTTGAACTCTCGTACTTAGGACTTTCTGGCCTCTCAAAGTCCCTATCTGCAAACAACATTTGGTGTAATCTTCTTTCTCTATACATTACCCCATTTGAAGAAATGGACATTCGTGGTGTCCTGAAATCAGTACTGCCTCGTAAGACATTACAGAGGAGTTCCTTGATCTTTGACAGCCTTTCAGGATCTTCAATTGCGCAGCCGGATGATTGGTCTGTGACATGAAGAACTGCTGCAGCTCTGGCATTGTGTGCCCAAATCACAGCATTTACCACATTGCAGCCGAGGTCTGTTAGGACTGCAGACACTTCTGACAGTAATCCAGGCCTGTCAGCGCCAGTTAATTCTATTGAGGTATGCTGTTTAGAGGGAATTACACCAACTGAGCTTCTCATTGAATTTAAGAAACTTGCATTGGTTTCCAGAGTCTGAAAAATTGAACAAATGAAGATTGTGAACATGAGATTTGCAAAACACTGAAATGACTTCATACGCTACCCTTGTTGTTTCTATCTATGCTCAAAGACACTCAAAAGTTTGGCCATAAGAACGAAATGTTGCTTACCGATTGTAGATAATTGACGGTTACTTTATCTCTGATCTTTTTCCCATCCGTGTCAGTAACATAAAACACTGGAAAGCAAGTTTCAAAATTAGAAAATTACATAAAACAGAGAGATTTTTTTTTTTTTTTTTTTGTAAAGTAAGTGAAAAAAACCATACCATCCATTAAATATCCTCCATCTGAAGATACGTATGCTTTTGTTATAAGAAGGTTGAGGTCTTTAAGAACTTGGACAACTTCAAGCAAATGACCGTGCCTATTGACCCCATCAACCTAAAAACCAACAGCTGGACGTTGAAGACAATGGCAAAGAGATATTACAATTTCAGTTACATCGAAAAATTGCAGTATTTACCTGTATAACAGTGGCATGCTCACAAGCATCGTTGTCAATCATCACTCTGAAAAAAAAAAAAAAAAATGCACACATAAGAAGAAAATCGCAAAAATAGAGAGCTGGGGAAGTTTCAAAATTCTCTTTCTCAGGCCACATAAACAAAATCAATGTTGCAAAATACAAAATAACTTGAACTTTTCGGCCAAGTAAGAATTATCTTGAGAACGAACAAAACATACAAGTAGACATGGCAGAGCTTGTCAAAACAACTTGAAAAGCAAATTCTCTCTAAACCATAATCTAATTTTTCATATGGATTCACGGCGTACCTTGGAGGGTTCATTCTCCTGATAAGCTTTGCAAACTCATCTTCCATTGCCAAACCTTTTCTTTTTTCCTTCTAGGAACTCCAAATTTAGAAATAAAACTAGCTAGGAGGTTATAACTGAAAAACATAGAGATGTGCTTAGGCTTTTATACATGAAGATTGAAGAGTAACGAACAGGAACAGACTGTTAATTTACTCATATTTGAGTAATAATAAATGAGTTGCGTGTTGTGTAGTGATTGGGCAAAAGAAACAGTTAAGAGACATTATAAAGCTGGCCTCTGCCCCACCCCATCTTAGGTGAAGTATTAGCTTCTTTACTTGTATTGGTGTCCGTACCCTTTGCGGGAATCTAAATCCACGTGAGAGGATCTATTGATTCACGTGCCATAAATTTTAGATTTTTTAGGATTAGGATAAAAAAATAAGCTCAAAGTAATTATAATTCCCTAATTGCGGTATTTATTAACAAATGTTTTGAATTAAAATTATTTAAATATTGTTAAGGAATTCGAAAATTAGTTGAGGTGCATATAAGTTGAGCCGGACGCTCGTATTACTAAAAAGAAAAAAAAAACTATATAAATAATTATAACTTGTCAAGTAATGTTAATTAATTGATTTGATTATAAGATTGTGATGGATTAATATTTATGAATATTATGAAATTGTAAGTAGTGGATAAGGTTACGGATAGGATGTTAAAGGGTAAGATTAAAAAACAAGGAATGAAAACAGTCTCATCCCTGAGGTTTGGTATAAGTACATGTTAGTCTTATATAATATTTTAGTAACATTTTGGTCCCTGTCAGTGTCAGTTATATTTTGGTCTCTCAGGGTTTTATTTTTTTTTTTATTATGTCAAAGGACCAAAATGTTATTAAAAAAATGATGAGACTGAAATTATTTAAGCCAAACAGAGGGATGAAATTATAATTTTCCCTTTAAACAATGATGTTGAGATATGGGTTTATGTAATAGAACGTTGAGATGAGGTCTGTTTCTTAAAAGGATCAACTTGGAAAGGTACTAAAGTGATAGAGAAACAATGAACGTGGCTACATCATTCAGTGACAGTTGTATCTATTTAAAACTGACAAACCGTCTATTTTTTGAGTTTGTCTTGCCATCAATTTTTGAGTCTTAGGCAATCAGAATTTGATAATGTTATTGGGCTCAACAACTTTTGATTTTATATTTTCTTAAAGTTATAATCACCCATCTACTGTTAATAACTATTAAAGAAAGAAATTAAATAAAAACTACTAAACAAATCCCTGATGATGGTTGAATGAATCTTAATAATTATGATGTCGTTTCTATGTTATTTCCATGATTTTAAATCTGATAATCATTAAAAAAATAAAAAATGAAATCGATAATGTTATCAACCTAAATAATAGCATATTCCTATCAAACAATGAAAAACTGTGTCCCAATAAACGAGAACCAAATGTTGTCTAAAAATGGACATAAATGAGGTGAGCTGCTCATTATGAGATCACCCGCAATTTAGGTTGAATAGGGTGCAGCCGCAGCATGCATTTACAATATTGGTGTAAGAATTGGATAGCTAGCCAGCAAGGCAGCAACTACAAGCTAATCAAATCACCAGCTGTCAATAATTTGAGATTTAATTAATTATGGAATAACAAAAATGAAACATCACGGTTGATCCACGTTGCCCCATCACAAAGTGCTTTTTAATAAGGCCATTAATAGGGATAGTTGGTGCTTTTTCTCGCGGCCTTGGAGAATAATGTCTGCTCAATTCCTGATTCACTTTTAGGAGTTGAGACGGTTGTTGCAGCAGTTGGGTTATAATTTCCGTCTTCAGACAATATTATTTCAAGGATTTGTATTTGTTATTACCCTCCACAATATCTTGTTTAATCATACTCCCACTTAAAATATTTTGTAGACAATTTCACACCTAAGCAAATCATGTGTTTTCTTATTTTTAATATTATTTAGTGTAATTTTGACAAAGAGAAAGTGAAAGAAGAGAAAATGCTGATAATGAGGATGACATTATTGGGAGACAAAAAGATTTACTTGTTTCTTTTGGTGAAAAGAAAAAAAAAATGTGAGAAGTGATTGTTTGTTTGTTCTGGTAGATGAATTAGATTATAGATTTATCACGAGCAATCATGGTGAAGTAAATTTATGGGAGGATTATTATGGCAACCAGAGCCACAAACTCTCATGAATATTCACTCATCAGCTTGAGATCATGAGTTAGACAATGCTAATTAATTGACTCCTTGAAACCCAGATTCATTTCTTCTTTTTGATTGGCTTGTTGTCGCAACTTCAACCATGCTCTGGTAGCTAAATTTATTAATTTAAGAGTTGTATTTGTATCTCCTACTGAAACACAGTTGTAAATGTAATAACTGTTGTTAAATATTTGCTGTTTCCATCCAAATGCTTTGCAGGAGTCGGCAGCCTGGAGGTAGGTTCTTGCAGTTTGTGACTGTTACCTACCAAATCTCTGTACTGTTAGTTTCATTTTCCATTATACTCTCCTATTAAGCTTGTTTTGTGTCAAAAACTTGCTTATAAGATGAATTAGACAACGTTCACTTTCAAAACAGTCTCATAATAACTCGTTTTAACATGAAGTCGAAAATCAAGTAGAGAGTACTAAAGGCTGAGGCCAACCCAGTAGTGAGCACTTCAATTTGGTCCTTGCATGAGAGCCTTCTCAAATGAAGGAGCTTTTTTACTTTCATAAAACTATAGAATTTATGATTTTAAAGCAAGAACAACACCTTTACGCGTTCGAAGGAAAAGGGTACAATACAACTTACAACTTACAACTTACATCCAACTGCATATATTAACAACAGGGAAGTAGGGGACTTTGACTTCACCTGTTTATTGGATAAAAACATAAGAACTACTAAATATTTAGCACTAACATATTTAATTGGGATTAATTATACGATAGGATTGATAACATTATCATCCTTGACAATTGTTGGATTGACATTAAAAAAAATATTAATCTAACAAATCTCGAAAATCAATAACGTTGTCCACTCCATAGTCCACACCATATATAACAGTTGTCCTATCAGCCTAGGCAAATGCAGAATTTTCCCTGTGATGCACAGGTTGCGCTGAGGTATTTCTCCTGCAGGGCCTTTTTGCATTGAGACAGTGTGCATGGGTTGAGTTGGATCCCAAAGGCACACTCCCCAATATCTGGACCCAAAACCAATAGCTTCATCACCATGGCAAGCAAAATATGACTCAGATTCACTCCTTTAGTACCTCCCATTTATAACTCTGAACTTTTGTTGGGCACTGTTTTTGTGTCTTGGGAAAGAACAACACATATTACACATTTATAGGGAGAAAACAAGTCCAGAATGACCTATGGCTATCCCATTTTCTAAGATAATAAATTTAAATGTATTATGAAAACAACCACATAATGAAGTGAATGATAATATACCTATAATATAAAAGCTAATCAATCCCATTCTATTTCAGTGTATTTTGCTTACTTCTACATCCACCGAAAATTATTGAAATCCAGACCAATGACAGATTAACATATGGTGTAGACTGTAGAGTATGTGCTACTATATATCATTGATTCATTCAACTATATCGACTTACATCACATGTGCAGCAACCACTTTCTACAATGATGCTATTTTATAAAAAAAAGGGATCACTCGGCATATGTTGAGCAATGATTATAATGATTTAATTTTGTTCCCCTTCAGAAAACATCGCCTGCCCTTGGAAACATTTTGCAAATGTTAATGAGAATTACTTGTACAATTGTTCATACACAGCCTCATTATTGTTATTGTTCCAACTTCCTAAGTAATTATTCTGCTCATCTCCTCCACCGCCAAATCGAACTGTGCGCATTTTGAAATGGGTCAACCCTAAATGTCAGAATAATTTGTAGAAAGGAGAGTTTTCGTTGATAGCACTAAGAATAACCGACCTTGGGCCTAAACCTTCTCTAAAACGGGCCGAGTAAACGGGTTGTCTAGGTCCACATTTACATTTTCCCTCTCAAAAAAAGTAATAATTTTTTTTTTTTTTAAAAACCTGTACTACCATTTAAGAAGAAATGGAGGGAAACACAGACTGCAGCAATCTCTCAAAAATGCCCAGACGACGCCTCAGAATCAACTGCTCTTCTGATTCTGAACAAGAAGAAGAACCAAATCAACCACAATCCACTCATTTCTATCAAAATAACCAACAACCTAATACTACTCACCCACCCGTCAATTTATCCCCTTCAACTCCTAATCCTAATCCTAATCCTAATACTAACCAGAACCCTAACCCTAATCCTTATCCTCCCGACCCCTTACCTATCTCCGACGAAGACGATGAAATTGACTCCTTCACCGAACCCCCAACGACAGCACCCGAAAATTCTCCGATTGCCGATATGCTATTGACTCTTGGACTGAGGTTGAAGAGAGATTGGCTATATTCTTGTGTTCAAGGACTCAAGAGTTCTGTTTCAGGATTCTCAAACCTCGATGTTGCGGCAAAAGCAAAGCTCTGTTTTCAGCAGTTTTTGTTTTCGGACATGAATTATTGTGGTGCTGGTGTGCTTCCAAACAATGTGGACTCATTGCATCTGGTGGATCTCAAGGGACCTTTTGTTTTGCAGGTGTGTGCTTTTTCATCGTATTTGTTTCATTTTCTTTTGAATTGATTCACTTTGAAAGTTTTTAGCTATATTCAGTGTAAAATTTTAAACTTTGGAATTTGTGATTTTTTTTTCTTTAAAGGTTTTATTGGTATTGAATTTTATTATTCCAGGTTGACGAAATAGTTAATATCAGCTGTCCTCTACGAGGCAGGTTTCAGGATACAGCTTCTGGTATCAAGAGGTGCCTCAAGTTGTCCATGACAGATGGTGCTCAACGTGTGTTTGGCATGGAGTACAGGCCAATTAAAGATCTCAAAGTTTTGGCGCCTGCTGGATTGAAGGTTTTCATTTTTTTATTTATTGACCGTCACCTTTTGCTAACAGAGAATTTTAATTTGGGGCTGATAGTATCTGGATTCAAGATTAAGGGACTCCAGAGTTGAATGTCTATACTATATTTTGAGATAATTCATTTTCAAAAAGGTTTACTTTCCCTTTGGAATGCAGCAGAAGGTGCATAGACAATGAATATTATTGTGTGGTCATGGGTAATGTTGACATTCCTGACAAATATATTGAAATGGTGAAGGTGCTTACTGCGGATTTGAGGCATTTGAATTGTTAGTTGAAGGCTAATTTAACTGTAATATGATTGTACGTCAAATGGTACTTGGAATTCCTTTTCCGCAGAGGTTAATTGTAATTTTTTTTTTTGGTGGTATATTGGCTGTATCCTCTTGTCATGCCGTATAGTTGTTATATTTGCAGCTTAATTGTTTCTTGACTTGACTAATTCTTAATGCCAAGAGATGACAAATCTCTCTTCGCTGTGCAGTAGTTTATATTCCTCTCTGGATGTTAGGTTGTCATTTGTAATGTACATATACGGCATGGACTGCTAATGCTGGTTCCTGAAGCTCTAGAAGTCCTTGGAGGAATGGTGCAGCAGTTGGAAGTGGCGCGTCAGCATCTTGTTGAGGAAGTAAACAAGCCACCGAGGGGCAAAAGGTATTTTTTGATCCTGTTGCAGATTTCCAACATATTGCTGTTTATGTTGTACCTCATAATGTTACCAACAAGATGTTTCTTCCCCATATGTATTGCCTTATACATAACTTGATTCCATTGCATTTTCACTCTCAACATCTTGACAAGCCATGTTATCAGTGGAAAGTAAAATTGGTTGCTGCCACAGAATTCTGTTGTGGGATTATCCACTTCCAAAGCTTTGTATACAGACAACTTCTGTTTAGTAATTTTGTTGAGGGATAAGAGTTTGCTTATTATAGCAGATAACAGATGCATGCTTGATTTCACAGTAAATATGCAGGTAGAAGAATTTGATTAACTCAGTTTTAGACTGTTGTGGTCTTAGAACTGTTGCATGGTAATATCCTTCTCGACTCTTGAGGAGTATGGTCCCAATATAATACGGTCACTTTCTTTTTCATTTTTGTAACGTGGTATCACAGGTGGATTTTAATAACAAATAAATGTTGTTTGAAATTCCACTGCCTGACACCTTTACGTGCTTGATCATAGGATGATCATTTTTTCTAACCTAATGCAGAACAAGGACAGGAGTTGTTCCTTCTTTAGCTACTAGGGCTACCCTCGCTGCATGGCCTTCAAATGGGTTCAATGTTACTGGGCAGACCAATAGTTCAATATCAGAGAATGCAACTTCCTTCCAAGCAAATGAGCAAGCCTGGCAGACCAACGGTTCAACATCACATAATGCAACTTCTTTCCGAGCAAATGAGCAAGACTGGCAGGCCAATAGTTCAGCAGCACAGAATGCAACTTCCTTCCAAGCAAATGAGCAAGGTTGTTATTTCTTATTATCATTAGCACCTTTTATTTTTATACTCTTAAAGGGGTTGGGAAATAAAGGGTTCGGGGGCAATTAACTTATCATCCACAAAACATTTTTAGTCTGTCGAATACAAACAATAAGTTTATATAGCATACTTAGGTGTACGTGTGCTAGACAAGCCGTGCCATCTTGAGGGGGAATGCTGGGAATCATAAAACGTGTGCTTTTGCATTCTTAACTCTCTCTCTCTCTCTCTCTATTTAAATTTTAAAACCATCTTAATTTAATTGATCACTCCTCCTTTCTTTTCTATCTTCTTTCTTATATCAGATATAGGGTCAAGTCTGTGTAGAAGGAAGAGCTTATGATGATTTATCATGTAAAATATCTCTTTTGTTAATGGACTGCAGCTGCTCCTGTGGTTTCATCAGGCACTGCTATCAGTCAAAGAAATACGACTGTTCCCATCAATGGGGTTGCTGTGGCTAATTCATCATCTGGAGTTGTCGTGGATTTTGAGGAGATGCATATAGATGCTGTTCCCACTAGCCGGGTGAATACATTGTCCAACTCAAATTATGATTTTGTATTCGATGTTGAGGATTTTAATATGGTTCACGATGTTAATAAGGTGGAGGAGGTTGAACACCCACTCATATTATCTGGAGAACGTGAAATTCCATTCACTTATTTGGCGAGTTTGTCAGCAAAGTGGGCTGCTATGAAGGAGAAAACCCCTTCTGTTCAGGGTAAAATTAAGGTTTGTCTAATGGATTCATTTTTTTTCATGATTAGATTTCTTATCTACTTTTGTTGATTATCTTTTAGCATTGAGCTTCTAATAGGCTATGACATATTTTGCTTGGCTCCTGTCATCCCAATTTAATGCAATTCATTCAACGGAGCTTAATATTAATAGGACTACTATTGTGTAGGTAATGAATTTCAAATGAAAAAAATTTAATGTCATATAAATTTTTAGGCTGTAAAATATTCTTTGAAATGAGATCTGCTCATGTCTGTTGTGGAAAAATATTAAACAGTATAATATCAATCGCCCGCCAATCGAATTATACACATATATATATATTTGAATTTTGAATTATATTTTGCAGTGCTTTTTAACCGGTGTTAAGAGATTCCAATATAAAGGGAGGGAAAGATATGAGCTCCTGGTTTATGTTGATGATGGTAGCCTCATCTCTGAAATCCTGATTGACCACAATGTGAGTTGGATTTTAAAAAATTGATGCTATGAGGTTGTTAAAAATTGAAATGTTGATTAGCTTTATATTTTTTTAGGTTGTACAGAATGGAATAGGTTATTCTCCTGCGGAGGTCACTGCTGCTCTTTCCTCATCAGATACGAAAACAGTTAGTGATATGAAGGAGACTTTCAGACAGTTCCAATTACTTTTAGTGACTTTTGAGGTAATATAGGTTAAAGTACACAATATTTATAACCTTGTGCTAGATGATTAATATGACTTGCTAAGTGATGAAATTTGTTTGTAATGTAACCAAATGTTTCATATATCTCTAACTCTATTACCTGGAATTTTTTTGTTGCAGGGAACAATGCTTGTGGAGATGAACGAAACGTCTCCTCGACCAATTGTCCTTGAGATGACCCAGGGCTGTCCTTCATCTGATGCACGGTTGCTTCTGAGAAGAATGAAGCCCCCTCCTGCTCGTGCCCAGACTCCACCTTGTCCGTTTATGAATCCCATTGAAATTTCTCCTTGATTTGACCCCACTTTTAACGCCCTTGTATAGTTGCTTGAGATGGAAAGTTGAAGGACGATGAAAATTAGTTTCAACAAAAATCTGCAGTTGTTCCCGATTGTATATTGTTCTTGGTGATTCTTTAAATCGTTCACGAATTGAATGGAACTTGTTCCCGATTGTATATTGTTCTTGGTGATTCTTTAAATCGTTCACGAATTGAATGGAACGGCATGAAGATTCAAATGATGACAACTGTTGCCTATCCATTCCTGGTTGCTTGGTTGAAGTTTGCTTGGTCCATCAGAATAAAGATGATTAAAATAACTGGATTAAGCCATCATTTGTGCTAGAAAGAATTCCGTTGACTGCTGTCTGTCGTATGGAGAAAAGTGACTATATCTTAGGTGAAAATGCGAAGCCAGCCAGCTACAATGTGGAGACCAATCTACGAGAACAGGATGGAATTCGAAAGCTGCCCCATCGGCCTCATTCATAAACGTGGTATGTCTTTTCCTTCCCCAAATTTATGAAATACCTTTTGGATTGCTTGATCTTAAATCATGTTATTTAAGTTTTTTTTTCCTAAATAATCAGCGTCAATGCTCAATTTTTTAGATAGAGCAATGATTGTTTCTCTTGTAAGATGCTGGAATAATTAGTTATGAACTTCTAGAGATAACTCAAGCTTTACACAACATATGCAAGTTTTATATCCTGCAGAGACTTTAGGCATTTGATATTAGAGAAAACAAGATATGTTTTCCCATTTTGATATACTAAAATGGGGACCGCCTATACCTTTGATGATCTAGACGAGCCGTGAGCTCATGAAATGAAACTGTATCTGGGGTTAGAAATTCCTTTATTCCTTTAACCAGGTCCAGTAACTTCTTGCTTGGTGCATCTCTCTGTGAAGTCCCAGGTCCAGTCACTAGCAGCATGTTGTTGAACCACACTATTATCTCTGGCCAAAACGCTTTCCAGAAAAATGTCACCCTGACCCAAGATGGCTCTGTCAAGTATTTATCTCCGCGGCATGCACTGTTAACAATAGCTCGTGCACATTTTTTGGTTGATCGTACTGGCATCAAACTTACTTGAACCTTGAACAGCAAAACTCAGTTAGAGGTGACAGAATAAAATTAGAAAATAGCACAAATGTGATTTAATTACATAACAATCAAGCATGTGAAGAGTAGCTTACGTCTCTTATTTCTTTGTCTGCTTCCAATTTGCCTGCTTTGTTTAGGAACTTCTCTTCAGTCATTTCTGACTCTATCACCCCGGGAGTCACGATTGTTATTCCAATGTCATCCCCGTATTCAACTCTCAATGTCTCGTATAAGGCAATTACGGCTGCTTTGCTTGCCTGAAGTCATAGGAAAATCTTAATTGATTAACATTAATAGTAAGAGATTAAGGAGAGAATGCGGATCAAAGAGTTTCCTACACTATAGAAGGTCATTCTTGGCACAGGTAACCATCCAGCAGCAGAAGCAATTGCAATGATCTTTCCTTTGCTCTGCTTTAGAAGCGGAATTGCGAAGTAGGCGCTATATGCTGAGCCCCAAAAGTTGATGTCCTAAGAAAAGATGGTGAAAATGTTTAGCAAAATTTAATTGTCCAAGAATTCGTCCGAAAATATTAGAATGCGGTAATGAGTATTACCATAGCTGGCGCAGCTCTCGTAATATCTGGGTAATCTTCAAACATGCAGACTGGAGCGACACCAGCATTTGTCACAAGATGGTCCACTGTTGACATAAAATTTCATCAATCAAACAATAATTTCCTGAAAGAAGCCACGAAATTGCCAAAGCCCCTTACTCTACTTACATCGACCAAAGTGTTTCACTGTTGCCTCAACAAAATGTTTACAGTCTTCAACCTTGGTAACATCTCCGGGGATGACAATAGCAGTAGGTGAGCCAATCAGCTCTGCTTGACTTGCAACTTCTCGGAGCCGAAGCTCTCTTCTGGCAATTAAGGCTAAACAAGCCCCTTTCCTAGCATACTCATAAGCAAGATGCTTCAAAACAACACCACTACACATATGAAATCACTAATAAAACATAGGTTAATTCAGAAATAATTAGTAAATAGACTGGTGCAAACCTCGCCAATGCCCGAAGATGCTCCAGTAATAAGTACAACTTTCCCAGCCACATCTTCACTGAATATGTTTCTTATAGTGGACAGGAGAAACTTGAATAAGAAATATGGTGGCAGGAAGAAAGGCAGTGTAACAAGGGCTACAAAAGGAACTGTAATGTTTAAGAACTTATTGATCAAATCCATAGCTTCTCCACAATGAGAAGAGAGAGACAGAGAAGCTAGAGTTCCTTGTTTGAGTAACTTAGAAAATTAAAGACTGGAGGTGTTACACTTACTGTCGCTATGTTCGAGATATAGATCTGAGTAATGGATGGATATGGTGCAAGTGCAACGTAGCAGCGTTGCATGGAGAGGAAACTAACACGTTGGTAGTTTGCTCTATCTTTTACCTGGCAAAACAGTGACGGTGGCAGCCAGACAAACCTTCTTTCTACCTGGGCTGGGCTCCAAGGAGTTATGGGTATATGACAAAAGGCAATTTATAGAACTTAAATACCTTTTATTGTATGAGAAATGTCATATAAAAATGTTATATATATATAGTATTACTTAATTTTTAATCTCTGCTCAAATACATTATGCAAATTATGTTTTAATCATATACTGAGTACATTATATTATAATTTGGTTTGAAAAATGACCCTAGTCTGCCAATATTTAATACTGTTGATGCTCATTTATTAATTAACTTCGCATGAATACACACGTTTAACAAATGACACCTTGCCATTTGGTACACAAGCTTGATGATAATATCTATTCTGCCTTTTGCTCAATAGATTGTGTTAAGCTCCCTTTCAAATTCTTCTTGCCAGCTGCATTTCTAATTGAAGTCCTGGACCGGCTGACGCGAAATGCTAAGCGGTTGCAATACTCGATCACCTCAGGGCAAACCGCCTTGAACAGGAATAGAACTCTAACCCAAGATGGTTCCACCAAGTACTTGTCCCCTCGGCAAGCGCTTTTTACAATTGCCTTTGCACATTCTTCTTTTGTTTCCGTGGGGATAAAACCCAAACCCTAATCATTCATCAATCGTTTATACAATGATTAAATTTAATAATACATGTTTCCGAATGTATATAAAAGTTCGTAACATTACGCAGATGATTTCTATCTAGAATTTTCAATCTGACAAGAATTCAGACAATAATATGATTATACAAACATATCAAATGGTGGATTTCGCCATCATGCTGGGGGTGTAAAATTATTAGGATTTTTTTTCTTTTGTTTTGTAATAAAAAAAATTATATATAACCTTATTTTTTCTTATTAAATTCATTGTGCTCAATACATATCACATATGCAAAGTGTACTATATATTAGATATTCAATTAATCCTTATAAATACAATTATAGCAATTGAAATATATTTGATCATCCCCCATTATGGAATAACATCTACCATTAATCCAAAGGCTTACCTGGGCGAAAGCTTGATCTAGGGTCATTTCTGATCTGATAAGGCCGGGAGTTACAATGGTTATGCCAATCTCCCATCCAATCTCCGTTCTCAGTGTCTCATAGAAGCTAATTATTGCTGCCTTGCTCGCCTGAACCCAATAAGATAAACACAATCATCCATCGGACACTAATAATGAGAGGTAACTAAAACACAGCCTTTTTTTGTTTTTTTGCAGATTTTGTCTTACATTATAGAAACTCAATCTTGGAATAGGATACCATCCACAAGTTGAAGCAATAACAATAATCTTCCCTTTGCTCTTTCTGAGATGTGGAATTGCAAAATGGGTGTCATAAACGGTGCCCCAGAAGTTTATGTCCTGTAAATTCAATTCTGAGTTGTTACTTACATTTTATTTAATGAATAATTGTGAGTTGTGTCTCTTGTTTGTACCAAAATAAAAAATTTCAAGATCTTGATCTAGCTAAGGATATGGTGATATGCAAATTATGTGGCGTTGATGATTTACCATTGTTGGAGTAAAATCGGAGATACAATGGACATTCTTAAACAAGCGTCCTCTTGCTACTCCGGCATTGTTCACTAGATGATCCACTGTTGCAGTAACCACATAATAATTAAAACATTCCGACCCTAAAACTATTTACATTGCAAGAGAAGACCTTATTAAAACAGTAGCACATACGTACGTCTGCCAAAATGGTTGATCGCAATGTCAACAAACCGCTTACAGTCTTGTATGACCGAAACATCAGCAGAAACAGCAACAACATCCCGGGAGCCAAGATGCCGAGCCCTTTCTACCACAGATCCCAGAGGTTTCAAGTCCACTAGGACTAAATTTGCTCCTCTCTTTGCATACTCATAAGCCATTTGCTTCAAATTTTTAAAACAATATCATCATCAAGATCAAGAAATAGTATTGTAAATAAATATAAGAAATATGGTTAAACATATAATTTCAAATATGGTTCCAACCTCGCCAATGCCTGAAGCTGCTCCAGTGATGACTACCACTTTACCGGCCACATTCTCACTGAATATGTGTCTTTTAATACAATGAAGAACCTTGAAAACCAGATATGGTGGCAATAGAAAAAGCAGTGCCACGAATGCTATGGGTGGAAGTAAAATGTTCATCAACTTGTGAAATAATTCCATAGTTAGTCTACAAAAAACAACAGAGATTAGATGTTGCAATTGTTCCAGCACTTGGTCCTTTGGAAAAATAACTTTAGCAAGCTTTTAAAGGATGATGAAAGAGACAATTCATTTATTTTGGATAGCGAGATTTCCCCCAGACCTTTAATATATGGGATCCACCTCTATTATTGGAGTTGTTGAAGATGTACTAGTTTTGGAAATAGAATAAGATTAAGGTCTGTCTATTCAAATGGGGAGATGATTAGTTTACTACTAACATTCAAATTTATCCGGCACTTTTATTTTATTTTTGACTTTCACTTCTTTAAGCTTATTAATTTTAATATTTGAGCTGATACTACTTGATCTGTTCTTGCTACTTGAGCTGATACTACACATGAAGAGGTTGAAATCAAAATCATGGAATCTTCTTCATCTTTATCAATGTTTACAGCTCCTGTAAATACCTCACTACCTAGATCTTCTTCTACCTCTAAAATAAATAGCCTTCATGAAATTTCCCATCTTCTCGGAAACCAAAAAATCCAAGAATCCATTCCTCCTATTGTAAACCCATACACAGCCTTTACTAAACCTTCCACTTCATTGCGAATCATATTAATTAATTGGATATCACTATTCATTTAAAGGGTGATAAAGTTTGGTACCAACCAACAAGCATTAATTTTCATAGGCTTTTTAGTTTCATATACAAAAACTTTTGGATCCAGAACACCTTAAGCAAAACTCGCTCTTCCGGGCTTCTTGATCTTTAGTCTCCTTAATTTGAATATGGCATTATTAAATGAAAAATGCTATCCTTACAAAGACCCATACAAAGAGGGCTACAAAGTGACATCAGTAAGAAGAAAAAAACAAAGAAAAAACAGAAAAAGAGAGAGAGAGAGAAATCATGAAAATCAAGGGTGGGGATTGTCTTTGTATGCCCCATTTGTATGTGTCTTTGTAAAACTAGCATTGCTCTTATTAAATACGATAGATTATGTACAAGAATAATTATTCACCTGTACTGAAAATACCAATCTCATATTTGAGGAGATCATATAAAGAGGGGGATCGATCTATGTAGCATAATGTTATGCTTAAAAAATCAAGGCTGACGTAGGCTTATGCCAGCGAGGACCAATCAAAGTTTAGGAAGACATTGTGCCGTTCAGGTGCTACCACGTCGATCAAGAACGGAAGGTGTAAGGCTGTCAACAACTTGGCAGGTAGAGGTCTGACTAGTGAGTGGTTGGGAGTCACCCACCTGCCCAAGCCATGTGCGATTTAAGGATATCTTCCGTGCAATTAGCTAATGGAAAGCAAAGTAGGAACTGTACGACACCTGCCTGCTAGCAGACTCGTAATCATTACCTAGAAACCTCTTACTATAAATAGAGAGCTCCCCTCTCATTTTTCGAGATTCTGATTCTGATAATATAAACACTGTCTCTCCCTCTTTGTATTTCTATTTCTCTTATCGCTACTTGCGATCTGATTGTAATCTTTCATTTATAAAAAAGACAATGAATGTAAGATTCGCTTGAGCATCCGAACCACTTTAAAAATCGTCTTCCTTTTATTCATTTCTTTTTCCATTCACATGTAATTTCTAAATCTGCTTAGCATCTTACATGTATGAATAGTTAGTGTCAAAATCAAACATTAACACATAATCTCAATGTTTAACTTATATGGGTAGCTTCCTTTAAGCCAAATTAGCGTGTTTACTTGTTTGTACTAAAAATTAAGCCAAGTATAATTTACTTATTTTGATCATAGATTCAGTTAATTAAGTAGTACATGGAATCATAAATTGGTTCGAAAAGTAACCATGCAGTTATCTTCTAGCAAATGACAGCTGCTTTCTTCGCAGTTGGTGACAAATTAAGCTTGATGTTGATAATGTATTATTGCTGTGCTTGAGTTTTTGGTAAAAAGATTGGGTTATAAGCTCCCTTTAAGCTTGATTTTGCCATTTGCATATGTAGTTGAAGTGGGAGCTCGGCCCAACGGCAGCCAGTTGCAATGGTCGACCACCTCGGGGCAAACCACCTTGAACAAAAGCAATACTCTAACCCAAGATGTCTCCACCAAATACTTGTCCCCATCGTCAAGCGCTCTTTACAATCGCCTTCGCACATTCTTCTTCTTTTGCTTCCATGGGAATATAAATTTTATCCTAACAGTGAACAAACATTGATTCAATTCTTAAGTAAATATTCACACGTTGCCACGATACATGCATATTATTATTATTCATAAGATATCCCTAACTTATGTGGATAATAATACGCAATGGTTATTGATAGGAACCACTCACAATTATAGTAAAGAGAGTTTTGAGTACAGTAAACCAGTCACATCTAGTAAAAGTGAAAGTCAATGAATATTGTTGACCGTTACGATAATCAAGAAAGATACAGACCATAAAATTAGTTGGTGGGTGTTGGGATGAAGTTTTAATACAGAGAAGGGTTACCTTGGGGAAGGTGCATGTCATTATTTGTCGACATCTCTAATTTAATACGATGATTATGCCAATATCCTCGCCAATTTCCATTCTCATTCTCGGGGTCTCATAAAAAGCTGATAATTGCTGCCTTGAACCAATTAATAACAACAATTTTATTAAACAGAAGGTGTTAATGAGAAGCAATATTAATCATGTTATACACTTCTTAACTAAGTTGTTTGTTATAACTATTTTATAAAATTAATCGAGTTATGTTCTTAATAAAAAAATTTGAAGCAGGAGACCTGACTCAATTACCATTACTGGAGTACAATCGGATATACGATCCGCATTCTTGAACAAGCCTCCTAGTGCAATGCCGGCATTGTTCACCAGATGATCCACTGTTGCATAAACCACATAATCATCAAACCATAAAGAATTTTCGGTATATATAAAAACTATATACAACAAGAAAAAGAATACAAAAGTTAGACCATGAAATTGGTAGCTTAATTTAATAGGAGTACTGGAGTGTTACTGGTACATACATCTGCCAAAATGATGGACTGCAGCATCATCAATAAATTGATTAGTCTTATGTGATGGAAGCATCTGCACGGACAGCGATAACATCTGGAGAGCCAAGACGCGGAGCTCTTTCAACCGCAGATCCCAAACGCTCTTCTTTCAAGTCAACAAGAGCTAAAGATGCTCCTCTATTCGCGTACTCATAAGCAATTTGCTCCAAAATTTTAAAAGAAATTATTTATCAGTAAATAATAATATAAATAAGAGGAGTGTTATTGTCTGTATGAGCTGTCAATTATTGAATTGATTTTGTACTGATTTCGTAATTACTTCCAGGAATCTGTTAGTTGACTAGTCTTGTATCTAAATATAGAAACAATTTGTTTCCTTTTTAGGATGTAATTATCTTCATATATTACCTCTGATTTGGAGAAGAATACGCACATGATTATTCAGCATTGAAACTTTTGTTTGACATGGTATCAGAGCAGGTTCATCTCCAAGAGAAGTTGTGTTAACAATTGAATTTCTTTTTCTTTTCTTTCGAAATTCGTATTCATATTCTGAATATTCACCACTGTTGTGAATTCTATGGCTGTTATCATAGGCGTATCAATAGATCTTATCCGACCACCAGCACCACAAGTTGTTGTTCATCAAGACAACTCGGCATTTCCAATCGGAATCACTCTGGATGAGACCAAGTACTCATTATGGTCTCAACTCATGGAGATGCGGATCGGTGCTCGCAACAAAGCTGGTTATCTTACTGGAGAAATGAAGAAACCAGCACCTAGAGATCCTAATCTTGGATCATGGATTACTGAAAATCACAAAGTCAAAAGTTGGTTGATTGATTCAATGAGTCCATCGCTGATGCAACGATTCATTCGTCTCCCTACAGCTAGAGATATATGGGAGGCTGTATCGAATACATTCTATGACAGAACTGACCAAACCTGTATTTTTGAGCTGAATCAGAGATCTTTCTCTACCAAACAGAATGGGCGACCATTACCAACGTATTACAATGAACTGGTTTCCATTTTCCAGGAAATCGATCACAGGACCACCTCCCAAGAAGGAACATTCGAAGGGGTGTTACAGCTGCACTCTGCAATGGCTAGGCTTCGAGTTCATATTTTTCTAAGTGGACTTGACTTAGAGTTTGATCAGGTTCGTGGAGAAATATTGCGAAAAGATCTGAGGCTTGATTTGGAAAGCACGTATGCTTATGTTAGAAGGGAATACCAGCAGAGACAAACAATGGGAGGCTCTCATCCAATTTCTGAGAACTTCGCCATGCTAGCCAGTCATAATTGATATGGATCTTCGAAAAACTGGGGCAATCAATCATCTAGCAAGGTTAACAATCTGTGTACACTCACTGCAGAGAAAAAGGTCACTCACAACAACGCTGCTATGAAATCATTGGCTATCCCGAGTGGTGGGATTTCTCAAAGAAGCCCCGTAAGAAAATGGCTGGGAAGGCTATGGTGACAGAAACAAAGGACGAAGAACAACCACCGCCTACAGCAAATGTTGCCCACCCAGGTATTATCGGTAAGGCATTTGTATTTTTTGTAACTTCTAAGAATAGAACTTGGATTATTGATACGGGTGCATTTGATCATATGACTAGAGATTTTGGCCAATTACAATCTGTTCTTCCATCTTCTCAATCTATTATTTACACTACAAATGGAAGTACTTCTCCTATTATTGGGAAAAGGTCTGTTACCTTGACTAATACTCTTACATTAGATACTGTTCTTGTTGTCCCATCTCTTGAATACAATCTTTTGTCTGTTAGCCAAATTACCTCCACACTTGCTTGCACTGTAACTTTTTGGCCCACTTTTTATGTCTTTCAGGACATCCTAACTCGGAAGATTCTTGGTTATGGTGTTAGACATTACTTGGAATTGATAGAAAATGAGGGACAAAATATCAATCAGGCAAATCAAGCTACCAATGAAGACAAAACTCGGGTAAATTTAATGTTTGGTTATGACATCGGAGATTAGGACACCTTTCTTTTGGTTATCTTAAAAATTACAACCACATCT